ATGGAAAAGGCGGCGACTATAGGGAACACAAGACAGCTTTACAGACTAATAAAAGAAACTGGAATTAATAAGTCAAGTGTCAGTGAGATTATATCAGAAAAAGACGATACTCTCATCTGCTCCCAGTCCAGACGTTTAGAACGATGGGCGGAACATTTTAGAGAACAGTTCAGCTGGCCTTCAGCTACTCTACAACTACCCTCCATTCCCAGACAGTGTGAATGGAACATTGAAGTAGGTCCCCCAACTCTTGCTGAAGTTCAAAAGGCTATAGTTAATCTGAAACGAGAAAAGGGCAGCTGGTCTAGATGGACTGGCTCCAGAGGTCTTTAAGGATGGTGGTCCAATTTTAGCGATTAGGTTGACTAATATTTTAGCTAGGATCTGGGAGTTATACGTTATCCCATCTAACTGGTCACAATCACTTATCGTCCCAATATATAAGAAAGGGTCAAAATCATCCTGTGACAACCACAGAGGGATTAGTTTAACTAATATAGCATCTAAAATACTAGCTTCGATAATTATCAGACGCCTAACTAAGACTCGTGAACTGCAAACACGAGAAACTCAAGCTGGCTTCAGACCTGGTCGTGGCTGCATCGACCACATATTCACCATTCGTCAGATTCTAGAACACAGGCATACTTATCGGCGTCCGACAATGGTGGTCTTTCTCGACTTAAAAGCAGCATTTGACTCGGTTGACCGCGAGATTCTGTGGCAGTGTCTGTCATTGAAAGGCGTACCCCAGAAGTACATAAACCTTGTGAAGGCTCTTTACTCGAACACTACTAGTCGAGTCAGAGCTTATGGCCAACTGTCATCTACTTTTGCAACCTCAAGTGGTGTCCGTCAAGGCTGTCCACTTTCCTCATTTTTGTTTAACTTCATCATAGATCTACTGATGGAAATAACTCTCGTCGACTGAATTCTCGGGTATTGATCTCCATCCAGGAGGTCCACTTATCGACTTAGAATACGCAGATAATATAGTCTTGTTTGGTGAAGACACTGACAAAATGCAGAGTCTTTTGGTAGCACTAAGCAACAATGCCAGAATGTTTGGAATGCGCTTCTCTCCCTCTAAATGCAAGTTGTTGCTTCAGGACTGGTCTGCGTCAACACCTGAACTAACGACAGAGAGTAAAGTAGCCGAACGCGTCGACAACTTCACTTATCTTGGAAGTCTGATCAGCCCTAATGGGTTGGTGTCTGACGAAATCTCAGCACGGATTCGAAAAGCTCGATTGGCTTTTGCCAACTTGCGCCACCTATGGCGAAGGCGAGATATCCGTCTATCAATAAAACGACGAGTATACTGCGCGGCAGTTCGTTCTGTTTTAATTTACGGCAGCGAATCATGGCCATTAAGAGTAGAAGACACTCGTAAGCTATTAGTATTTGACCACAGATGCCTTAGAAATATTGCTGGCATCTGCTGGGATCACCGGATGAGTAATAGTGAGGTTAGACGCAGGGTATTAGGAAATGATGGTAAATCAGTTGATGAGGTTATGAATCTTCATCGACTGAGATGGTTGGGCCACGTGTTACGTATGCCTGAACACCGATTACCACGACGTGCAATGCCAACCGGTTTTCGGGATGGTTGGAAGAAAGTTAGGGGCGGTCAAACCAAAACGTGGCACCAGTGCTTGAAGCCACTAACTTCTAGTCTGAGCCATGTTGGTAGATGCAGACTACTTGGTTGGGGTCCGCGTGACTATCGTAATCAATGGTTGGAGACTCTTGGTGACATGGCTCAGAATCGTTCACAATGGCGTCGGTGTATACACTCCCTGTCTTCCCTTAAACTAAGAGATTAAAATCACTTCATATCTTTCTTTCTACGAACCAATTCTTTCTTCTTGTACTATATCTCTATAGGCAATCTTTCTCTTATATATTACCACCTTTGACCTAACCATTGCTGTGAATCCGGTGTTCATCTTGTTGTGCTGATGCGGTATGGCAACCTGGACCGATGCACATATGTGCCTGCTCCTACGTTGTAGCTGACTGACTAGATACATTTATGCATCAGTCCAAGTTGCCATACCTCAATAGCACAAGATGAAAAATTCATAAAAGTAGTTACTTCAATGGCAGTAATATATATAATACAGCGTAAAAGGATGTGATACGGGGAAAAAGAATTAGTTCGTAGAAAGAAAGGCATAAAGTAATTTTAATCTCACGGTTTAAGAAAAGACAAATGGTGTATACACCTACGCCATTTTGAGCCATGTCACCAAGAGTCTCCAACTACTGGTTACAAAAGTCACGCGGACCCCAATCAAGTAGTCTGCATCTACCAACATGACTCAGACCAGAAGTTAGTGACTTCAAGGACTGATGCCAAGTTCTGGTTTGGCCGCCCCTAACTTTTTTCCAACCATCCCCAGCACTAATCAGCATTGCACGCGGCGGTAATATGCTACACATGGTTCAACCACCTCAGTCGATGAAGATTCACAACCTTATCGACTGATTCACCGTCATTCCCTAATACCCCGCGTCTAACCTCAATATTACTTACCCGGTGATCCCAGCAGATGCGAGCAATATTTCTAGGACATCTGTGATCAAATACTAGTGACTTACGAGTATCCTCTACTCCTAATGGTCACGTTTCTCAGCCGTAAAGTAAAACAGAACAGATTTCTGCGCAGCATACTCGTCTCTTAATTGATAAACGGATACCTCACCTTCGCCATAAGTGATGTAGGTTGGCAAAAGTCAAACGAGCTTGTTGAATCCATGCAGAGATTTCGTCAGACACCAACCCATTAGGGCTGATCAGACTTCCAAGATAAGTGAAGTTGTCGACGCGTTCGGCTACTTTACTCTCTGTCGTTAGTTCAGGTGTTGACGCAGACCAGTCCTGAAGCAACAACTTGCATTTAGAGGGAGAGAAGCGCATTCCAAACATTCTGGCATTGTTGCTTAGTGCTACCAGAAGACTCTGCATTTTGTCAGTGTCTTCACCAAACAGGACTATGTTATCTGCGTATTCTAAGTCGATAAGTAAACGTTCTGGCGGGAGACCAATGCTCGGAAATTCAGTCGACGAGAACGTTATTTTCAGCTGTGGGTCTATGATGAAGTTGAACGAAAATGAGGAAAGTGAACAGTCTTGACGGACACCACTTGAGGTTGCAAAAGTAGATGACAGTTGGCCATAAGCTCTGACTCGACTGGTATTGTTTGAGTAAAGAGGTTTCACAAGGTGTACGTACTTCTGAGATGTGCCTTTCAGTGACAGGCACTGCCTACTGAACCTTTTAGTCTATAGAGGCGAATGCTGCCTTTAATTCAAGAAGAGCTATCATTGTCGGACGCCAATAAGCACGCCTGTGTCCCAAGATCTGGCGAATGGTGAATATGTGGTCGATGCAGCCACGACCAGGTCTGCAGCAAGCCTGATTTTCTCGTGTTTACAGTTCTCAAGTCTTTGTTAGGCGTCCGATCATTATTGAGGATGGTATTTTAGATGCTTTATTAGTTGAATTAATGCCACCAAATGCCGTGGAACGGCCCAGAGTGGGGAGAATCAGCTATCCCTCTCGAAATGCTCTCACATGGTCACGCGTATATGGCCTCTGCCAGGGAAGTCCTACTCACTGCCTTCTCGTGGCGAGGGTGTTTACAAAAATGAGAGGACGAAAAAGGAATGTCCGGTGCTTTAACCGGATTCCAAACCAATGGTGCACATGGGCTCCAGTATCCTGAAGGAACAAATGGCGTATGAACCAATCGTTGGTTACCGGCTTCCATCGGACTGCATCTCCTTACGATGCTCCACTGCCTTGTGGATCAGACCTTCAGGTTGAAGGCTCGGGGAGTGGCCCCCTAAGAAAACCGCCTGCTTCGGTTTGGGCACCCGAGCAGTATCACAGCCCTCACACATATCGAATGAGATTTGTGTGGCGAATATGTATTTGGTGCCTCCTTTTACCAATATCTATGTGTTAAAATAAATAAATAAATAAAAGTTGAATTAATCCGTTTATGGGTATCACAGGATGATTATGACCCCTTATATATTGGAACAATCAGTGATTGCGACGAGTCACATGGGATTTCATCCAGTTATCAGGTTTTAGCTAAAATATTAGTCAACCTAATCGCTAAAACTGGACCAGTTTCCCTCTCACGTTTAAGATTAGCTGTAACTTTTCAAACTTCAATTAGAGTTGAGTTGGAGGCTATATCAATGTTCCATTCAGGCTGTTTGGAGATGGTGGGTAGCTGTAAATGTAAACAGCGCAGGAATCAGCGTAAATGAATATTGGTAAGGACTGTTTCAACTCCAATTCATGCAGCTACAGTGGAAAATAAGCAAGGAGAGATGATAAAATTGACTGTATTTTTAAACCATACACTTTGTTCTTTTACAATGTGACTCAAGTTGGTAATTATGTTTTTGGTGGTATTGTGTTCTCTGAGCCAAATAATTCGATTGAAAAGCTTTCATTCGGATTCTGGACAACGTCATCGCCTTTTGCCCTATACAGATGTGAGCTATTTACATATTCAACATCAACTCTTTCTAATAAACTTGTTTGTAAATATTTGTCTTTGAATGCATTGCCAGACTCATTTGTTTTTGTATGTTTAACATTTTTTTCTGAATACGTTTAGTACTTAGGTGTACCTGTAGGTAATCGTTTAACTTTCTTTGAATCCTTATCAACATTTATAACTGTGCTTTTGATGACGAAAGTTGTTCTATATTAACATGTGACGTGAAGGATCTGTTTGGTTCTTTTACTTGTACAACTGAATTGTATTTACTGGACCAATGTGGACCATTAAATATGTACACATATCGAATGACTTGTGAAATATCTATATATGTTTTTGTTAAAATTTATTTTCAAATTACTGTATTAAGAAGATGATTTATATCTCCATTAAAAGTAGGCTTTTTACCATGTGAAATATGATTTTAAATACACTTCCAATGGTGCTCCAGTTTCCTACTTTCTATATACATGGATCTGTGGTTACTCGCAATTAGTGCTACTGTTGGTACTGTTTTCATCTTAACGATGCGGTGGTTAACTCGAAGAAAAACGGTACTTTGCAATTGTTTGTCCCCTGTCGGCCAACATGCAGTCATCACTGGTGCTAGTTCCGGTATTGGTCGCGCAACTGCATTTGAATTGGCCAAAAGGAATTGGAAACTTACGTTAGGTTGTAGGTAAGTAACAGTTTATTTCAGTAATAGTTTACAATTTTCAGAAATATGAACGCTGCCATTAAGGTTAAAGAAGAAATTACATCTCTCACTGGTAATCATAACATTTCTCTTAGACTTTTGGACTTGGAGAATCCACAAACGATTAAGGAGTTTGTACAATTTTTATCTTTACCTGTTCATGTTTTGATCAATAACGCCGGTGCGTTTCCTAAGATTCTTCGTCCTGCTATATATTACCAAGATATCAATGTTACTTTGGCTACTAATTATGTTGGACATTTTTTCCTGACTTCACTGCTTTTACCTTACCTTCGAAAATCATATCATGAAACATCTATTTATCCTCGTGTGATTGTTGTAAGCTCCTCTTTATCCAAAAAGGGAACGTTCTCGACAGAAAATTTGTTTCAACCGTACAATACTACATCAGATTTAAATTCCAATAAAGCTTATTCTGATTCTAAACTGGCTTGCAATTTATTTTCACGCGAACTTCATCAGAGGTATGGTTCAGGTGATAATAAAATACTTGATGTTTATTGTTTATTTACCGGAGGGATGGTAAATACTAATTTATTTCGAAATACTTTGATAAAATACTCACCACTCACTCAGCGTTTCATCCGTGGTTTAATGCAACTACTCTTGAAATCTCCTTCAGAGGGTTGCCAAACGATTGTTCATTGTGCAGTTAGTGATCAAGTTCCTATTCATCATAATAATTATGCTCAAACTATTTTAACTGAGACATCTGGTAGCGGTATGCTGTATAACAATTGTACACCTATTGATTGGCCTGCTAATTCACTCGATCTTCATCTAGCTAGTCAACTTTGGGATTATACAACAGATTTCTTAAAACTATCAGTCAATAATAATGCATAAATCATTCACTTTTATGTACAATTACGTATTTATTTGTATTATATACAATGAACTCAGTGTATTTTCATAAAATTCCAATTAGCTAATTATCACTTAGCATTCACGATGAACAGAAGCAAACTACAAAATGACAGCCGAACAATTAATATTATAAATGTAACAAGTTTTTAGAATTTTTTAAAAATTTAGTACAACTCTTCCTAACAGACATTAAGTTCCTTTGCATTTGTTCATCGGTTTATAGTGATTCGTTTTAGTGGTGTGTGGTAAAATATATCTTATTGATAGATTTTTTTTACTTCAGGAATAGGAGGTACTACAAACTCAAGAAAACTGTTTCAAAAAACGGACCTTGAAAACTTCAAGTTACATACTCGTATCCATTAGGCTGTGATAATACGTGTCATGTCCTTAATGTCTTTATACATGTGAGATATCTGCCAATACAAAATCGATTTGTAATGCTCTAATCTAAGTATACTTTTCACTTATATGCTAACAAACTTATCCTTGACCATCGACATCCTGACTGACAACAATTTACCTTGATCAACGATTGAGACAGTTCCGAATAGCAGTTAGTCCGGGACACATGTAACCTTATTATCTGGTATCCAGTCATAAGTATTTGTGCATTTTATTCGGTAGCTCGTTCACCCTTCTGTTCTTGCTCAAGGAGTCAGTCGGGTAGTTGGGGCGTAGTACGTCATGCATTAGTATCCGATTTCAGACACCGTCCGTCATAACAATTTCAGTTTACAAATTTTGGTATTATAGTTACCAATATTATCACAGATTGTTTTTTCGGCCTTCAGAAATGCCTCTAAGAATATTTAGGCGTTGGATCCTAGAAGGAACTTGTTAAAAATGTATTATGTTTATTGACAAAAAGCGATACAGTTTATATTTGAAATATGTATCGTGTGATATATCTAACTATCTAATAATTTTTTATTGTCACATATCTGAGCTAGAAGTAAACAAAAGTTGGTAATCAAGAAATTACTTCATATATCAATCATATAAACAACACATAAGCAAACATGTTGGTGTGTTTCGAAGGATCATGAATCTGTATACATAAGTTATCAGACTGCAAATAAAAATAGTATTTAATGCACACAATCAAGTCGAAAGCGATAGGGAACGAAGCAAGCGAATAATAATTTATCAATCATAATATAGGGTTGGTGAAACATGTATCGATAGTTTGTACACTAGACCAAAAGCTTATAAATGAAAGTACCGTAAACCAATTACCTAATAAATATATTGCAAATAGGGGATAAAAGTTTCAGTTTTTACAATTTCCACTCCACTTCATCAATATATAATTCTAACCTGTACAGAATTACCTGGTAAAATCTTTTTTCACCTCACATTGATTTTAACTTCATAGCGAGTAACTTCTTAGTTTACTAAATATTCGTAGGTAATTCGGAAATAGTTTTCATCTCATCTCAATACTAGTGGAATATTCATTTAAAGTTGGCGACCACTAAACGTTCATTTGTTGTAGTTTTATGAGTATCCGTTAGTGGACATTCATGAATCCTGTTGGGATACTCTACAATCTATAAGGTAAAAATGTATAAAAGATTGCATTCAAATGATGATTCTCAACAGTTTTTCTTTGTATAGTTATTTTTCTCCTATTTAAATATTTTCTGAAAGATACAGCAACTGAATGTTTTAAAATAACTAAACTTTGCAGCTAACTTGTCATTGTAATGACTATGTTCTACTCATCTTGAACGGAGATTTAAACAAATCTGTTAGGGGGAAAAGATGTTACTCTACAAGCTAATATCTTGCTACTCACTGAAAATGAATTTCGATGAGTATTGCATTAGTAAGATTTATGTAATTAATTACATAAAGACAAATGATAGATTGAATAGTACACCGATTCTGACTAATGCTAGTTTGTTTACAACAGGAGTAGATAATTCTGGGTAAAATTCTCAACATTGCAGAATAACTCATTATTCTACGAAAATATGGAACTTTTTTCCCTTAATACTCATTCTTTTACAAACCTCTAACAGAAATCCTACATTCAATCAAATCGGTTATTTAATGGATCATCTATACAAAGCGAATGATGGTTTCTTTTATAAAAACACTGAATTTCATTAGCTTACTCACTGCTGTCTTGAGCTACACCAATTTCCTAGCTGCTATAATTTTGTTCAGTACATAGTAAAAGTTTGTTCTTTAGATTATCGATTGTATAATACATCGGATTGAAAAGAGGTTAATGGTCTGCATAATAGTACAGCATATGATTTATTATGAACAGTTCACCACTGTGTTGAGAATTATTCACAACACGAATAAAGATCTAGGGTTATTCTTAGTTTATATTTCAAAGATAGTAACTTAGATATTCACATAAAATGTAAAATTAGAAGTTACTGTGATATAATTTCTTACAGGTCAAAATAACATGGGAAGATTTGACTTGCTACTTCCGGTTGATAGTGAAAATCTGTAACGTGTAAAATGTTCATTAATGGTCTAAGACTTAATTGTTCCTGTATTTCCATACCAATTGCTTTCTGTTCCTGTTCTTTCCTACGTCATCCTCTCGACCTTCTGTTGCCAAACATTCTATTCCTGACTAGATATATATAATACTTATGTCGATATATAGTAATATTCTCAAAATCACAGTCTAAGAAAGAACGCATCGATGATCATAAATTGTCTGATTCACGTGTGTAAGAAGTTCACTGAAACATTATTTTCGTCCCACACTCCAAATATCTGAGCCTTAATTTTTTGTAATCCTAATATTTCCCATTCTTGGTTTCAAAGCTTGTAGAACTGGAAAAATACCCATGTATGCCATTTTCTGTTGTACCTACTGTATGTTTGCGCAATAAGAAGTTTTCATTTTAACCTGAATAGTTAGATTACTTGAAATAATTTTACAGACTAGCTTCTCAGTGGTATCTGTCAGTTTCTAGTAAAATTAAGTTTATAACCTAATAACAGCATTTCTCTTTACTTAGCTTTATGTGATGGATACTCTTGGTATGCGAGAGATCTCAACTTCACAGATACTTTGTGCTTGTGAGTACTATTTGTTTGTACACATAAACATCGGTACGAGGGGAAACCAAATATATATACGCCGCACAATAGAAATCAAGTTGTGAAGAAATAAAGAATAGTCAACATAACAAAAATGAAAGGCAACCATGAACACAATAAGTGTATGCGAGTGAGATAATAATAACAATAATAGTGGGATAATTATTTCAGTCAGGAAAAGTACAACCAAACAGAATTCGTTCAGTTAAGATAGTTACTTTCGCTCTGGATCGCCACTGGCTTCTATTCAAAGCCATTTCTGATATCGTCAAGATGTCAAGGAACACTACGATTGTTAGCCTGTGATAAGTATGACGGTATTTTATCATTTTACAGAGAATGAAGATATCAATGCATCCTCGATCAGAACGAAAACCGGCCTACTCCTCGAGAGTCCATATTTCTTGGGTTTTTTACAACCTACGAAGTATGACGGAAGCTGATAGTTTGGACGCAATCGAAAGTAGACTTATCACCCAATAGTTTTTTCATAGATGAGGTGAACCTTTTATAAAGACAGAAGAATTATCGATGGAGGTAAGTTTTCTGAACCTGATGATTTGTAAAGCTTTGAGAGTTGGAGTTCCTTGTGGACATCCACCTCATTGGGTGGATCAGTTGTCACCGACCATGAAGAGCAGGACTGTCTGATCGATATCACCGGGACAACAGACCATTTGAACTCTTCCTCGAAAAACTCTACCCATCGTTCAGGACGTCGGTAAATGTTATTGATTGGCATACCCTAAGCTTCACAGATTGTTTCACTCACACCAAAATTCCTGCTGCCAGTGACTCAGAGGAGTTGAAAGAGCTTGTGGCAATTACCAGATGCAGCTGTTTCTTCTAACTCTGGAGAGCTCCGACCACCAGGCTCCTCGGTCCTTCGCCCAGTTTCATTTCGTGACAATCTTCGTTTATCGTTAAACCTGCGGTTACTCGTAGTGGACAGATGAACTTCAATGAGTTGTGAGAAGCCTGTAGAAACCAAGTGCTTGTAAGAGATACGTTTCGCAAAGCCACAAGCGACACTACTCACCACTTTCATAGCGTCATACAATTGAAGCCGAGGCTCATCTATACTTTCCATTGTGATACTAGCTATCCTTGAACCTAGCTAGTTTTTATATTTAGTTGCAACAGAAGCTTCAACCAATTTACCGACATTTATCCGTTTAGGAAGATGAATTTGTCGACCACTGAAAAGTAAGGTAAGATTAGCGCAAACAAGGCATGATCAGAGTCCGGATAGGTACTCGAAAAGGGGCGGAAGTCTTGCATACAACCACGCTAGCTGTAGCTGATCGCAATGTGATCAATCTGAGTCCAGGCTTGAGGTGCAGATCCTTTAGATAGAACAGGGTTTCCACCATAGGTTAGCTGTTGTATGAGTCTAAAAGTAAACGAATGCGTGGAAAGGTAATAAAGGGGAGTAGACAAGTGGTTCAATATGAAATAAAATCAAATATAACCAAATGATTGGTGATGAACGTTTTTAACTCGATCTTAAAATTCATTGACAGCGAAGTATGGATGATGTAGGGAACTACCTGAAGATCATTTTAGATTAGTCAACTTGTCAACTAGCAGTGAAAACTGTCAATTCAATGGTTTTCAAGGTCGAGTTTTTCATATTTTTCTAGAGAGAAGGAAGTTGATCTTGTAGTATACATAGTCATGGAAATGTGAGATTCTCGTTGATTTGAGTTGCGAGGTCATATTAAACATGCAAATGCATTTTTCAGTGTTTGATTTTGTCCATTATTTTGACAATCACTAAGCCAAATCATCCTCATTTTACGTATAAGTATCAGTATACGAGAGTTTTTAACTAATATAGTTCACAAGAAATCATAAATTCACTAGAGTACTAAAAAATATTGATAAGATGTCAAACAGTATAGTGGTGAAAACAAAGTTTCACATTACTTACTTGCGCATGCTGCCACTCATGGAGGAGCATAGGCCGCCCACCAGGATTCTCTATCAAACTCTGTCCTAGGCAGTCCTTTACAATTTTCTCCAGTTGCTGTTCATTCTTTTCATGTCTGCTTCCAATTCCCAACGCAGTGT